CTCACATGTTCACACCTGATGTAAGTATGCAAGGCTTCAGCGATCCAGTGGATGCACTTTGTATATTTAGGAGAGGAGAATTCGATTTTCGAATTTCTCGGATGCAAACTCAACTGCGCAAAGAAAACGATGCTAGTATAAATAAGCTGGACTATTGAGCTGAACTCAGTAAAGTAGATTTTTAGACTTCTTTTTGCTATAAACTATAAGTTATAAATATTTTAGCTTTGTTGATGCTAATATCTTGAAAACTGTAAGTTATTGCTTGCACACTTTGCAGAAATTTATGTACTACTAGACGTGAAGTTAAAGGTGAAATAGATCCCAATGTGAATTTTATTTATAATAAATAAAGATTACATAAATATCATAATTTCTGTAACGCTCAGGCATCGTCCCCTAATTGTTACTACTCACATTTCCTACAGTGATTCTGCTTTGGTTCAGATTTCTATGGGGTTAGGCTATATTAATTATTATTATAAGTCGTTGGGAAAAAATGAGCAAGTAAGTAGAGCAACGAAAGTTGCATGCATAAACAGATGTGAAAGGCGACCAGTTATGAAAACTGCATCAGTCATCATCTCGTATTACAGCCTCAGGCACATCATGGAAATTTACCGAGTTTGAAGTGCAACAGCACTAGAGACCACAGGCACTTGGAACGTCTCAATGAAAAAAATCATGGTATAAATATACACGAAATGTATTTACTACCAAAGTCTTATCGTTTCTCTACTCTATTTCGCCTATTATTGCCGATAAATTGCTGTAAATGCCGTTCAAATGCTCATCTGCAACACACAAGTACACCGCACGCCCGCCCTGTGCACAAACAACATGAATAAGAGAGAAAACAACTCTCTTATTCATGTTGTTTGTGCACAGGGTCTCTCTTATTCATGTTGTTTGTGCACAGGGCGGGCGTGCGGTGTACTTGTGTGTTGCAGATGCGCATTTGACCGGCATTCACGGGTAATTATCGGCAATAATAGGCGACATAGAGTAGAGAAACAGTAAGACTTTGGTAGTAAATACATTTCGTGTTTACATTTTTTTATTTTATTGAGACGTTCCAAGTGCCTGTGCTAGAGACCAACGCGTTTCGTATATATATATGCCTTTCATCGTGTTCATCCGCATCCGATCAAGTGCGATGTCGCAAATACGCTGTGCACTCCTGCGTGCATGTTGACAATAAAGCACGCGTACACGTGAAGGCGCCGTTGCAGCACAATCTGCACACGCAGGCGCGGGCTTTGCCCATGGCCTACTGGCTCTACTGCGTCTACTGCCCATACTGTACCGAGTAAGCAGACCCCGCCACGTGTTAGCTGAACGGACTGCCGCCACCACGCAGACTGCTTCAGGCTCCCGCGCAACAGCACGCGGTAATCGATGACCGTGGCTGGCCGCCATCGCAGCACGCATCGTACGCTGCTGCCATCTACAGCCTGATAACGGATGCGGTCATGGAAGAGCGGCTGCACGCGCCGAGCAGATTGAAATCGCTCAGATTACCGGCCGCCTGCTGCGCATTATTATCGAAGAAAATTTCCGTATTACCGCAGCTAATTGGTCGTGTTTACTGATATAGCTTTCATGTAAAAAAAACACTGTCTGGTTTTGTAATTGTTTTTAAGAATGCACGTAATTTACGATGCGACTACACAACCAGAAATCGTCTCACGTACAGATCTGAAAACGACTACGAAACCATCGCCACCGCCCCACGCCACCTTTTTCTCCTTTCCCATCGCTATACCATCGTCGTCTTTATCATCGCGGATGCCATCTTCCTTGAGCGCCATGTCCTCGCGTCGACTGTTCCTCTGTCTCGAACGTGCTTGTGTCTTCTCGCTCGCAGCTGGTAAAGCTGCAGGATCCCAAGGTGTGGCTGGATGCTGCGACTCAGGTGTTCTACTCGCTCGGCGTTGGCTTCGGCTCTCTCATCGCGTTCTCCAGCTACAACCCACGCACGACCAACTGCCAGCGCGACGGCATCACGGTGGCCGTCATCAACGCAGGCACGTCGATGCTCGCCAGCTGCGTCATCTTCTCCGTGCTCGGCTTCAAGGCACTCAACTCCCACAACGTCTGCCTCGAAGAGTGAGTATGGTTCGCGATAGTGTTAACGGCGCAGCATAATCCACTGATGTAGGCTGCGGGAAATGTGTGTGGTTCTGGAGTTGCTGCGATCGCGTTCGCCGGAGGCCACCTGCGTATACGTTATGTTTTTGCAATGCAGCTCTGCGCTCGCGATTGAAGCTGTGATCCCTGGCTTCAACGCGACGATGGTAACCAAGGCGGAGGAGCTGTCTCATTTTCTACACCTGCACAATGAGAGTATCCATCACCTGGGCATCCGCAACTGTACTATGCAGGATGAGCTGAGCCAGGTAAACAGGGCTGCATTCTGCATACCTAACATAGCAATTGACAGGCAGAATAGAGCCATGACATATAATGTAAGTTGCTCAGAGTTTGCTAGAGGAAAAATACACTGTACTGCTCATAAGTTTACATGGCCTGACCAATTGTCCGCTTTCATTTCGGTATCTGATGTCTGGTTCAAATATACTGCCATGCCTTTTTGTGGTGGATTTTACAGGTTTAGCTTGTCTTTAAAAAGGTATTTTGTAAAACAATGTTTAATGCAATACATAACATGATATCAGGAGTAGATAATAGGGAAGGAGTGTGACTTCAATAAACAAGGGAAATTCGTCATTTACTAGCCTTAGAATACCTACGATTTACTACGCGTAAAGCTTAAAGGCAGCTTCTAATGCACTCTTGCTCACTCGGCGAGGCGGTGTGGCTCGCTGGGAGATTGGACATCGACGCAACACTCGGCGAGATAACCTTGGACCTGGCATACAGCTACATACCGGCATACCGGCATACAGCTGGTATGCCCACAGACTAACGTTCAGGTAACGCCCACAGACAGACATTCGTTAGTCTGTGGTATGCCCCCCACGCACGCGCGCCCACCGCAATCAGCAGCAGCTCCAGCTCCAATCTCCCAGCGAGCCACACCGCCTCGCCGAGTGAGCAAGAGTGCGTTAGTAGCTGCCTTTTGTTTCAAGTTTGGCGGACAATACGTTCAGATTGATGGCCAAAGAATGGATAATTGTGTCATACGTTTTAGTCTGTATCTCTGGATTACTGGTGTATACGAGGAAACGATTGCGCACGATGCTAGACGAATGTTCTGTGTACGATTTGA